CTCTCCAGTAGAACTGGCACTGGTCCTGCCCACAGCCATGAAGGTTCTCTGCAGCAGGACCTTCAATCACCATTTTCTGCTCTGCCTCCTCCCATTATCCCTGGCAATCCAAAGCCCCCAAAGCACTTCAGTCCCTTCCCATCTCTCATGGGTCAATACAGAGATCAATGCATTCACTCATCATTTGTAGGACCAGTGCTTTCCATAGCTTGGCTCACTCAGGAGGAAGTTTAATTTCCTATAACCTGGTAAAGCTGTAGGTTTATGCTTTACTGACAGATTTATCAATTGGGTGTCACTTTTATTAAAACAGAACCAGTTCCTCAACCGTTCTGCTCCTTTAAAAATTCCTATGCAGTTCTTGATTAGCACTGAGATTTGCTCATGAAGGATGATGTTCTGAACTTTGGTGGGACAATGGCACAGCCACAGACGGTTTTGGGAGGCAGAACTTGGACACACCATTTCTTCAGACTCTTGGGAGGCAGAACTTGGACACACCATTTCTTCAGACTCTTTTTTTCCAGAAGAGCTGCCCCGGCCATGGAGTGGGTGCTGCTGGATGCTCCTGGGATGTGTCAGTGGGTGCTGCTGGGTGCTCCTTGGCTGGCTGGTCCGCAGTTTGCATTCATTGATCAGTGAGTTGATAGAAATGAAAACCCACCGACAGCAATGAATGTTGATTGCAGCCATTAGACGCTGAAGATGCCATCCCCAGGACGGTGCTGTCACACTGAACAGTCCCTGTGGCAGCCAGCAGGTCTTGGTGATTCTGGCAAGCACATGTTCACCAAAAGGAGTAGAAAATATTCTGCTTTAGAGACTAGGTACCACCTTTTTTCTGGTAAAGGTGATTATTTTTGCTTGGTCACTCCACTTCACTACAGCTTTYTGCAGTCAGGAATCCCTGGTTTGCAGTTGATGGGGCAGGTAACCATCAGCTGAACCATTTTCTTGTGTCTCCTGCTTTGCCAAAGGTTGCCAAAGTTTGATGCTTTAGTGCCCAATGGTGATCTGAAATAAGCACTTTAAGGTGCCAGGTGTGCTCGAAGGGAACAGCTTTAACTTTCACAGCCTCTGCTTTCTCTTCAGCTTGAGACAGGGCAGGTATTTTTCTTTTTTGTTAAGTGTTGCCCATCCGTGACCACATACAGAAGTTAGAATTATACATATTAGAAGATGTTTTCTTCTAGGGCAGCCCAAGACAACATTCCCTGGCACATGCTTTGGGTATTTTCTTATTTTATGGATCCTGCAGTCCCTGTGAGGACAAACCAAGTGGCATAGGGTGCCAGAGCCTGCAGTCCTGCTCACCCAGCTGGGCTGGAAAAGGTTCCAGGCAGGAACAACTGAGGTTCCCAAGCCCTTGGCTGGCTGTTCTTTGACAGGAAAGCTGTTTCCTTGTTTGCCTGGTGCAGAGGGACAGCCTGAGCTGCAGGAGCAGMTGGAGGAGCTGCTCCTCACCCGGCATTCCCAGTGAGCAGCTGCTGAAATCCAGCACAGCTTCCTGGGAGCAAATCAACTGCCATTCCAAAGGTTTTTTCCAGCAAAGCTTAAGTTGCCAGCCCAAATGGAAATGAGGTTTCCTTCCTGATCTGSCCTGTATTCTGCTGTTTTGAACACAGACCATACTCTGATTGGTTTCCAAGTGTCCCATATGGTGTGGGTACGTTCCTGCTTTTGTGCTGCCCATACAAAATCTTCCATTGATCTCTTATACTTTGTTCTGTAGGAATTCCGCTCTAGTATAAAGATTTAATTCCTTTTTTTCTTCAAGAGAAAACAAGCATTTCTTATACACCAATTCACTTTTAGAGAAAGTAGAACTGGAAAAACTCAACCTCTGTAGCTCTTAATAYAATCTGTACATCATGACCTGCTAATGGCAACCACATGTGGAATATTTGAAGGTTCAGGTTTTCCACTGAACAGAGGGTTTGTGATAAACCTCAAGGTACAGTCAACGGTCGATGGTTTTTTCTAGTTCTCAAACTCACCGACAGCGTTGAATGTTCACTGAAGCTATCCMAAGATGGCTGTGGACATGCACTGGACACATTTTCCATGCATATGTTTTCCATAGACTGCCAGTGGAAACATTGCTGAGGACTGCACATTCTTTATTGTAAAGCCTTAAACTGCAAAGTATTTTAATTAYGGAATGGAACCACGAGGACTAATGAATTGCAGAAGTGTAAGACCACTCTGGTTATGGCTGCTGACTTGACTTAGGATTTCTTCAAGCAGCTTTGAATGTAGCAGGGTTGCAGTTGTGGAAAAGCTTTCCTCTTGTGGATATGCATGTTCTCAATAGCAGCACTAAGGATGTTTAGTTATTCAGATTTCTCACAAAATTCACCTAAAAACCAAAAGCACTGGGGGTGGGGGAGCACCCATAATGCTAACAGAAGTGAGAGAAGGGGATCTACTTCTTAGTGGTATTTCTATAGCTCCTGTCCCTGCTCTTCTTTCCTCTGAAAAGAGGAAAAGGTGATCTAATATCTTTAAATCTCTGTATTTCATCTACTTCTCTTCACCTTTTCCACCTAGCTTGCATGGTTCAAGAGAAATCAATTATTTGCAGTTTGTTTATTAAAAAGTAAATCTGCAGCTGTATCTGAAATAACTTTCCTGTGAGTGCAGTGGGGCCTACACTGGGGATAATTTATCATTTAAATTCTGGAGACTTGCTTTAAATTCTGAGTATTTTCTCTTGTTGTAGGGGTCTAACAGTTTCTCTCTGAATATCCTGAGCTGATATATGTAATTTAACAGTAAGTGTATTGTCTAATAAAGCACTTGAAGCAATCTTGCTCCAGGAATACAGTTTGTAGCCTGCACTTAAACTGATTGWTTTTAATGTTATCATTAAATATCAACTGATACTGAAAATCAAAAGAATTCTCTGAAAGTTAGTCTCACCTTTTTCTTGCCATCTTTTGGAGTAGGAGCTGGTGGAAAGAACAAAGACAATTTGAATTAATCACAAGCAGTGCTCAGCCTAGAGTATTAAACCTTAGGAGTGTCCCAGTGTGAAGGGTGACTACATGTGGTAGGGATAACATAAATCAAGGAAACTGAGCTCAAGTCAAGCATGAAATTTTGGTTTTAACAAACCAAAACAGTGTGTTTGTATTTAAGTGACATTGTTAGAGAGGCTTTTTTCTTAATTCACCACTTCTTCCTTCTTTACCCCTCCAATGACCTTCAAGGCAGTAAC